AGGTCATTTAATAGTATATTTACTTCCATCCCACCCTGGCACCTCCTTAAGCCCTGGAAGTCACCAATCCATTCTCCATTTCTATAATTGTATCATTTCAAGAGAATCATGTAAATTTATTATATAGATTTAAAGACATTATGAGATTGACTTTTTCATCACTTAGAGCAATTCTCTGAAGGTTCGTCCAGGTTATTGTATATATCAGTAGTTCATTTAAAAATTAATGTATTTGTATTTATTTGTTGAAAGAGAGGGGGATAGAAGGAGGAAAAACTGGGAGATAGAGTTCTCCATCCACTGGTTCACTCACCAGATGCCTGCAACAGCTGGCTCAGCCAGGCAGAATTCAAGAGCCAAGAATTCAGTTCTCCCAAGGACTTGAGCCATCAACTGCTGCTCCTAGGGTATATACTGGCAGAAGCTGAAATTAGGAGCAAACCCAGGACTCAAACCCAGACATTTAAATATAGATGCAGGTTTCCCAAGCAGTATCTTAAGTTCTGTACCAAATGCCTGGCCATTTTTTTTTTTGTTACTGAGTTGTATTCCAACATTCATTGAAAACCATTGATTTTACCCAGTTTTAAGCTACTAGAAATAAAGTTGCAATGAACATTTGTGCACAGGTCTTTGCACAATCATAAGTCTTCCTTTTTCTGGGATGAATGCCTGAGAATACAATTGTTGAGTTGTATAGTAGTTACATGTTTAGTTTTTAAAAGAAACTGTCAAATAACTTTTTCAAAATGGATATGCCATTTTACTTTCATACAAGCAGTGTATGACTAATCCAGTTTTTGAATATCTCACCAGCATTTTCTGTTGTCACTTTCATAATAATGATGATCATCAGTTTCTGCCTACTTTCCAAACATCTGTTTTCATATTCCTTGTCACTCAGTCCCTTTCTTTGGTATGCTCCTGGGGCAAAGAAACTCTAATACCAACTGATTGTCAGGTCACACTATTATTGTGAGCTCAATGACACCAAACGCCATACCCAGTCTTCTTCATTTAGTACCTGATGAGGGCAGGGAGTCATCTTTCTCAGAGATGCAAAATACACTGAACTGTGAGAGATAGCAATGAATGGTTTAAACAGGATGTCTGATGGGAGAGAACAAAGGGACCAACTCAACAAGATGAAACTTAACAGAAACAAACCTATCAATTGAATAAACACTGAACCAACATTGACTACCTGAAGGCTCTGTGCAATATGCTGAAGATACAGACAAATATGCAGACATAAAATGCTGGTCTCATTTCTTGACTTCTGTCTATGAAGGAAACTTTGAAAGAAGTATGAAAATAATTATGTCTAGATTGTATTATGAATATGTCTGTTGTTTAAAAACAGCATCTGAGGGCCAGTGTTGTGGCACAGTGGGTTACGCTGCAGTTTGCATCACAAGCATCACAGATTGGAGCACCATTTTGAGTCCTAGCTGCTCCACTTCCATTCCAGCTCCCTGTTAATCCACCTTGGAAGGCAGTGGAAAATGGCTCAAGTACGGGTCCTTTACCACCCATATGAGAGATCACTTCCTGATTCCTGGATTCAGCCTGGCCATTTGGAGGTCAACCAGTAGATTAAAGGTCTCTTTGCCTCTCTCATTCTGCCTTTCATGTAAAAAAATATTTTTTTTAAAAAAAAGAATATAGTATCTGACCTTTCTTAGATGAGTTTTAATGGATAGGATTAAGTGTTGTTAAAGTGACCATATAGATAGGATCAAGTGAAAAAGTGATCATATAAATAGGACTAAGTGTTTGGAAACAGTAATTGACAGAACATGGGAAGCAGTCCATATAGCACACTCATAGAGTGACAGTCACCTTAAATAGCACTCTGGCCTAAGAATCAGCCCTTAAGGCACTCTGGTCTGGCTGGAAAGTCCAGGGGAACATTTCAGGCATAGAAAGCCAAGTCACTCCAGCAAAAAATGTTCTATATAAAAGAACCCTGTAGGTGAGACCCCTGTGGAAAGAAGGGACCACCAAAGAAGGATGTACTTTTCTCTGAAGGGAGGAGAGAACTTCTACTTTGCTTATGGCCTTGTTGAAATACTGGATCCAAAAAGCTTCCATAGCCAAGGCAGATCATGTCAAGAGCCTTGGGTGATCACTGATGTCATATGTAAGAGTGTTATTAAATAAACAACAAGATTCACTGTGCACTAATTTCCCATGAAGGACCTCTGTCCCCAAAGAGTTGTACCATGAAACTTAATAGTAAAACTTGTTCTCAAGAATCACTTCCTCTTTGTATGTTAAACGGAGCATATTATTTTGTCTCATAAGTTATAGTTATGTCTAAAAACTCACAAAAGATGTATTATCCTTGGATTCTTCTTTAAAGACAATGAAGTTTCTAAAAGGAAAGAAGAGGGATGAAGGAATGAAAAAGAGGAAGTGGGGGAAAAGTGTAATCACCTTCGAGAAGTAGCAACATAGAACAGCCCTTGTCTAGACTGTTGAGGAACAATTCTCTTAGTTTTTTTTTTTTATTCCATTTGTTCTTTTCTTCTTTTTCTTTCCTGGATAAAACAGGAGAGGGGGCAGGAAGGGGGTGGGGAATGAGTGGTAGGGCAGGTATGGTGGGAAGAATTATTGTGTCCATAATGTATTTATGAGATACATACAAATTTAAAAACATATATCATTAAAAATAAAAAATATAAACAAAGTGAAGAAAAAATTGATGAGTTTTGTGCTGGGGAATGTTCTTGTACTTTAGGAAATTACCTTTTATACTGTGTGTATTGGAGAGGAATGCCTGGGAATACAGAGGTCATTTGGAGGATTAATGCAGCAGTCCAGTGAGCAATGACAAGGTTTTTTTTTTTTATTTTTTATTTATTTATTTTTTGACAGGCAGAGTGGACAGTGAGAGAGAGAGAGACAGAGAGAAAGGTCTTCCTTTGCCGTTGGTTCACCCTTCAATGGCCGCCGCAGCTGGCGCGCTGCGGCTAGCGCACTGCGCTGATCCGAAGGCAGGAGCCAGGTGCTTCTCCTGGTCTCCCATGGGGTGCAGGGCCCAAGGACTTGGGCCATCCTCCACTGCACTCCTGGGCCACAGCAGAGAGCTGGCCTGGAAGAGGGGCAACCAGGACAGAATCCGGCGCCCCGACTGGGACTAGAACCTGGTGTGCCGGGGCCGCTAGGCGGAGGATTATCCTGTTGAGCCACAGCGCCGGCCCGAAATGACAAGGTTTTAAGAAGAGCAGTAGCAGTAGAGATAATTAAAAGTATGTACAATGAATGTGAGAAAGGTTTATAATTAACAGAGCTTGCTTGCCAATTAAAAGGGAACTGATGAGAGGAAGTGCTTTAGATGGTTCCCAAATGTATCTTAGGCAACCACAAAAATAGTTGTGGTATAAACTAAGATAGCAAATTAGAACATAGGAGTATGTTTTGAAAGAGAGAATTAGTTCAGTGGGTGTTCTGTTTAGTGAAAGTAAAAAGGCATCTCTCAGAGATATCTTGTAGATAACAAAAGCTTTGTTCAAAAAAAAAAAAAAATCTGAAGGTCAAGGGTCCCAAGACTGACATAGGCTAGGTCTGATTAGCAGATGGGGACAGACGCTCTAGGTTGGAAGAGACTCAGGTTTTTTTTACTGAAAGGTAGGAGCGTCAAAAGGAAAGAGACTCAGTCATCTGTTCAGTGTGGCTGAGGCTAAAGCACAGGTAAAGAAAGGAATATTGGTGAAACTAGACCCATTGTGATTGTGAAGGGTCTTGTGTGCCATACCCTATTTGAGATTTTTGTTCTGTAGGTGATCATGAAATCACCAGAATTATGCCTTGGAAAGAAAATTTTGGTGTCACTGTAGATAATAGAATGAGGAAAGAAAGGAATAGTTTATAACCCCTTCCCCTAAGTAAAGTCATAACTTGGTAGAAGGGTCTGTGAAAGCTACCAAGTTGCCCTTGTATAATTAAAACCTTAATGGAAACTAGCATTCTGGTGAGCATACTCCATTTCAGTGGAGTTAGTAAGATTCTACTTTTGTTTGGCAGTATTTTGAAAATTCTTTTTTTATTGTTCAAATTTTTCTATAGTGGGTAAGTGTTTAGCCTCTTGGTTAACTTGCCTGCATCCCACATTAGAGTGCTTGGCTTCAGTTACTGGCTCCAGTTCCTTTTTTTGTTGCTGTTGTTAAAGATTTACTTATTTATTTGAAGGCAGAGTTACAGAAAGGCAGAGGCAGAGAGAGAGAGAGAGAGGTCTTCCATCCACTGGTTCACCCCCTAGATGGGTACAATGGCCGGAGCTGAGCTAATCCGAAGCCAGGAGCTTCTTCTGGGTCTCCCACATGGGTGCAGGGGCCCAAGGGCTTGTGCCGTCTTCCACCGATTTCCCAGGCCATAGCAGAGAGCAGCCGGATCAGAAATGGAGCAGCCGGGACTCGAACCAGCACCCATATGGGAGGCCAGCACTGCAGGCAGTGGCTTTACTCTCTATGCTACAGTGCCGGCCCCAGTGGCTCCAGATCCTTACTCCAACTTCTTGCAAATGCATACCTTGGGAAGCAGCAGGTGATTATCCAACAGGTTGGGTCTCTTCCACTTATGTAGCAGACCTGAACTGAGTTCCTATCTGATTCTTCTGATTCTGGCATTGGCCTGGCTCAGCTCCAGGTATCACATGCATTTGCATAGAAAACCAGTATATGGTGATTTTGTGCTCTCTTTCTCTCTCTCTCTTTTCGAACCTTAAGTTTTTCTGTAGAATCGGGGGTTAATAGGAGAATGCAGGCTCTGGGAACACTTTCAGATGAAGAAAAATGAAAATACTTTTCATAGAGATAAAGGAGAATGTATAATAAAGTCTTACTTAGAAGGCTGGAATGTCTTCCTAAAACCAGGCTGTCTAAACTTTATGATCCAAGGAGAAAACTATCTAATTGTGCTCTTCTAAATAGAACCGCCGGACCAAAAAAAAAAAAAAAAAAAAAAAAAAAAAAAAAAAAAAAAGAACAAATTGAAAATCTTTTCATTGCTTAATTTATTCTTTTCAGGACTAGGTACATCTTACGATATGGAGTGTATAGTTGGAGAAAATGGATTTTAGTTGGGGAGAATGGAAGTTTCTTCCTCAGTGTGATTCTATCTTCTGTCTTTCTCTTCCCTGATGTTATACCAAGTGTGATAGGGCCTCCTGAAAGGCAGAAGGGCAAGAATAAAGAAAAGAGCTGCTTACATGTAGTTAGCATGTTTCACACACATTTACTTTCATTGCCCTACTTAGCCACTGTTTTGTTGATTAGAAAACAAAGACTCAGAGTGGGTAAGTCCACTCAGAATCACAAAGCTGTGAATGATAATGTTTCATCTAGAACATAGGTCTCTGTCTTTCAGAAATTCTTTCTTGGAATGTAGAAATTGTACTTTGAGATTCTGGGATGTGCATATATTATAGGAATATAATAATCAAAGGAGAAATACATGTTAGAATAGGATGTGGTGTGTGCTCAGGGTAACTTCACCCTTCTTCCTAGCAAATTAGCCCTACAAGTTGTAGATACCAGCAGTTTCTTCACAGCCTCAGAAGCCTCTGGTCCAAGTTCATTCACACACTTCCTTAGCCCTTCCACAAGGTGCTCAACAGAAATCCCCAGAGTTTCCAGAAGAAGCTTTAATGGATCCAGGAAGGGAAGAACATTGTCCAGAGGTAATGGTAACATCTTGTCCCCAAGGACAGGCACCTTGTTAATAAGGAAGGCAATAGCTGCAGAACAAAAGAGAAAACAATGAAACAAGTACAGCCACCTCTTGTCTATGACTTCACCTACCCCTTTGTCCACTAACAGCGCCATTGCAGACCCACATATCTGGATAGCCCATGAAAACTTCTGCCTCTTGTCCTTTGCATAAGCTGTTCCATCTCCCTGGAATTTTCTTTCCCCAGATAGCAACAAGTCTTTCTTCTCACATTATTGGTCTCTCTTTAAATGTTACCTCCTCAGAGAATCTTCTATGGGCACTACAGGTAAAATAGCACCACTTTCCACCCTCTAGCATTCTCATCATTACCTAAAATATTAAATCTTTATTTGTTCCTTTTACTGCCTTCTTTCTGTCAGAGAACAAAGAATTTATGTTGTGTTCACTATTGTAGCCCATGCAATAGTGTATGCTACTACACGTGCAATAGTGTAGCTAGAGTTAACCCTAGCATGCAGTAAGCACTCAGGAGATATTGGTGGCCAAATAATTACCAACGTACTCTGTATGTGACTATCTTGGAAACTTAGAGTTTTTTTTTTTATCTTTTATTTAATGAATATAAATTTCCAAAGTACAGAATATTGATTACAATGACTTCCCCCACATAACGTCCCTCCAACCCACAACCCTCCCCTTATCCACTCCCTCTCCCCTTCCATTAATGTCAAGATTCGTTTTCAATTCTCTTTATATACAGAAGATCAGTTTAGCATATATTAAGAAAAGATTTCAACAGTTTGCTCCCACACAGAAACATAAAGTGAAAAATACTGTTTGAGTACTCGTTATAGCATTAAATCTCAATGTACAGCACATTAAGGACAGAGATCCTACATGAGGAGTAAGTGCACAGTGACTCCTGTTGTTGACTTAACAAATTGACACTCTTGTTTATGGCATCAGTAATCACCCTAGGCTCTTGTCATGAGTTTCCAAGGCTATGGAAGCCCCCTGGGTTCACCGACTCTGATCATTTTTAGACAAGGCCATGGTCAAAGTGGAAGTTCTCTCCTCCCTTCAGAGAAAGGTACCTCCTCCTTTTCCACTGGGATCTCGCTCGTGGAGATCTTTCATTTAGGTTTTTTTTTTTTTTTCCCCAGAGTGTCTTGGCTTTCCATGCCTGAAATACTCTCATGGTCATTTCAGCTGGATCTGCATGCCTTAAGGGCTGATTATGAGGCCAGAGTGCTGTTAGGACATTTGCCATTCTATGGGTCTGCTGTGTATCTCACTTCCCATGTTGGATCGTTCTTTCCCTTTTTTATTCTATCAGCTAGTGTTTGCAGACACTAGTCTTGTTTATGTGATCCCTTTGGTTCTTAGTCCTATCATTACAATCAATTGTGAACAGAAATTGATCACTGGGACTAGTGAGATGGCATTGGTACATGCCACCCTGATGGGATTGAATTGGAATCCCCTGGTATGTTTCTAACTCTACTGTTTGAGGTAAGTCAGCTTGAGCACGTCCCGAATTGCACATCTCTTCCCTCTCTTATTCCCACTCTTATATTTAACAGCGATCACTTTTCAGTTAAGTTTCAGCACTTAAGAAGAATTGTGTATTGATTACAGTATTCAACCAAAAGTATTAAGTAGAACAAACAAAAAAAATACTAAGAGGGATAACATATTAAGCTGCTCATCAACAGTTAGGGCGAGGGCTGATCATGTCACCGTTTCTCATAGTGTTCATTTCACTTTAACAGGTTTCCTTTTTGGTGCTCAGTTAGTTGTCACCTATCAAGGAGAACAAGTGGTATTTGTCCCTTTGGGATTGGCTTGTTTCACTCAACATAATGTTTTCCAAATTCCTAACAGGGATCACTTTTCAGTTAAAATTTAAACACCTAAGAATAATTGTGTGTTAATTACAGAGTTCAACCAATGTTACTAGAACAAAAAAAAATACTAAAATGGATAAAGTATTACATTGTACATCAACTGTCAGGACAAGAGCTGATCAAGTCACTGTTTCTCACAGTGTCCATTTCACTTCAACAAGTTTCCCCTTTGGTGCTCAGTTAGTTGTTGCCAATCAGGGAGAACATATGATATTTTAGTTTTTAAACCAAAGAGAGATTCCATAATAATGAGTCTCCATTCAGGGGCAAGAATGGACTGAATTACAGCCCAGGAAACTTCTCCTAACCAATTCAACTCAATACTATGATATAATTGAACAATTACTCCATGCCAGTTGGTGCAGATACATAGACAATTAAGCCAAGGATGCTCCCTTCAGAGACCTCATAAAATCTGTGGACAATAAAGATCTCTGTGTGCCAGAGTGTGGCATGTGCTGTGCTCACACTATGGACAGAGCTCTGTAGAAGCACAAAGGATTCGATGACTAATTCTAGTGTGGGAAAGTGTTATAGAAATATTCCCAGAAGTGTTAGGGCTATCTCTTGAGACAGATATCAGGATCACAAGGTAAAAAAAGTGCAATGTTTTAAAAACAATAAAAACACTTAGATATTAAGATGAAAAGTGATACACAGAATGACAAGACTTCCACCCAAAGAGGCTAGATTACAGAATTCCAATTGGCTATGATCATGGTGTGGAAGATAAAGGGGGTGAGGATGTGAGAGTTGGGTAAAATCAGGTTTTTGAAATCCTTGGATGTCTTACCAATGAGTCTGTCACTCTTTCCTGTGGGCAGTGGGGAATTATCAAGGTTTTAACATGAGATGATTACATTTTAAATCTTTGGCTTTAGAAAGATAACTTTCACATAGAAGATGAATATTAGAAAAAGAATAGAAACTGGAAAAATTTTATATTTTTGCAAAAACTGTGTGTACAATATATGTGTAAACATGTATGCATGAGCACATACATCCTCCTGCTAGCAATGACATGCCATGATTCATTTAACTTTTTGTTTGTTTGTTTTTGTTTTTGTTTGACAGGCAGAGTGGACAGTGAGAGAGAGACGGAGAGAAAGGTCTTCCTTTGCAGTTGGTTCACCCTCCAATGGCCACTGCGGCCAGCGCGCCAATCCAAAGGTAGGAGCCAGGTGCTTCTCCTGGTCTCCCATGCGGGTGCAGGGCCCAAGCACTTGGGCCATCCTCTACTGCACTCCCGGGGCACAGCAGAGAGCTGGCCTGGAAGAGGGGCAACCGGGACAGAATCCGGTGCCCCGACTGGGACTAGAACCCAGTGTGCCAGCGCTGCAAGGCGGAGGATTAGCCTATTGAGCCGCAGCGCCGGCCTTAACTTTTTTAAATAAGGATTTATTTACTTATTTGAAAGGCAGAGTTATAGAGAAGGAGGAAGGGGGTAAGAGGGAGAAGAGAAAAGTGGAGGGGAGAAAGAATATGAGAGAATCTTCCATTCACTGGTTCACTTCTCAAATTACTGCAACGTCTGGGACTGAACTAAACCAAAATCAGGAGCCTGGAACTCCATCCTGGTGTTTCATGTGAGTGGCAGGGGCCCCAGCACTTGGGCCATCTTCAGCTGCTTTCCCAGACACATTAGCAGGGAGCTGGATTGCAAGTGGAGCAGCTAGGACTTCACCTGGCTCTCGTGGGATTCTGGTGTCATAGCCAGCAGCTTAACCCACTGTACCATAGCACTGGCCCCATTGGTTCATTTTCATTTGGAAATTTTCTGTTTCCCCACGCAAATTATAAAAAAGGGGGCATATGCATCTCTCCTTTCTTCTTCTACAGTCTGTATTTCCTTCAAAATTTTCCCCCAGAGCAGGGATATCTGTTTACTTCCACCTTGTTCTTTTGACGTCTTTGCCTGTAGATCCGTGTTCCAGCATACTAAACAACAACAAAATATCCTAAATTGGTGAAGTTAAAAATTCCTCCAAAGATTCTATAAAAATCAGCCAAAATTGCCAATGTAGGCATGGACAGAATTTCTCATGACTCATCTTCATATTTCTTATTTTAGACATTTTGGTGAATGTTTTATATACATTTGTATCTTTCTCCAGAAAGATACTCAAAGATTTCTGTCCTCTCAGCAAGCATTACCACCATGAAACATTTTTCTGATGTTCCCAAATATATCTTCCTGGTAATTTAGTGGCTTCTTCCAATAAAAATGGGTCACTTCCCATTTTTGTCTTTAAGACACCAGTTTCTATATCCTTACCATGAAATTAAGATCTTCTACTCTCATTACACTCACAGAACTCTATCTGGGTATTTCATTGTACATTTGTGGTACTCTAGTATTGTAGTAACTCCTGTAGAAGTCTGGGCCGGCGCCATGGCTCAATAGGCTAATCCTCTACCTAGCGGTGCCGCACACCGGGTTCTAGTCCCAGTTGGGGCGCCGGATTCTGTCCCGGTTGCCCCTCTTCCAGGTCAGCTCTCTGCTGTGGCCCAGGAGTGCAGTGGAGGATGGCCCAAGTGCTTGGGCCCTGCACCCACATGGGAGACCAGGAGAAGCACCTGGCTCCTGGCTTCAGCTCAGCATGATGTGCCAGCTGCAGCACACCGGCTGCAGCAGCCATTGGAGGGTGAACCAACGGCAAAAGGAAGACCTTTCTCTCTGTTTCTCTCTCTCACTGTCCACTCTGCCTGTCAAAAATAAAAAAAAAAAAAAGAAGTCTGATCACCCCTACCAATTATAGTTCTGGTAACAATACTTATTGGCGATTCATGTCTCCATCTTCTAATACCTGTTCAATGTCCAACACAGTATAGCTACTCAGGACACATCCATTGAGTAGATGAACAAATAAATGTAGCTGTCTTAAGAGAAAGAACATATCAATCTGGATAATGGGATAAAACCAAAAATGACTCCAGATAGTTTTTGAAAGCATGAATGAAATAAACTACAAAGTCATATTTTGACTCAAGATTAAGGAAACTTAATGATGACAAATGTCCAACAGTGAAATACGCTTTACTGAGTTCCAGTGGGAGTTGGCTGACTTCCTATACAGGATGTATTAGGGATAGTTCATGTATTGGTTAGAGTTTCAGTTGCAGGCAGACTCTGAAATATACTCTAATGTTACGATTTTTGTGATCCTAAAATTCCTTCCACAAACTCCACTGTCAGCGCATCAATGCTTACTAGTTATGTTCCGACTCACAGAAAAGTAGACAAATACCAAATCTGCCAGGATACTCACCAGAGTAACTATAGATGCTGATGGTCACCAGCAGGAAGACAGCTATCAGCTTCATGACAGGTATCTGTGATGTTTTCCTAGAATTTTAACATTCAACCAGAAAACCCAGTGAACCCACCAATGGTTCCACCTGCTGTCTAATGTGTGCCAGATGATTTTATATACACACTTATATACACCTACTGAATCCTGCATCAGTCACTACCACTTGACTCACCCCACCAGAAAAGAATATGAAGGTCATGTTTCCTCACTAAACACATTGAAAGGTTTTCTGCTTTTCCTTCCTGTTCCCGTGAGAAACAAAGCGCTAAATGAAAGCATTTTCAAGTGCCTCTTGAGCAAGCCTTTGCGCAGAAAGGAAGGTGGAAGGTGAAGAGCCCTAAGAATCCTCCTGAAAGAACACTGGAAAGAAATGAAGTCTTACATTGGGATGAAAAGGACAATTTTTCCCAAGTTCTGTATGTTCTCCAATTTTCTATCAACCTAAAATTTGGAGCATCACATTATCTGTCAAGCTATCCAGTTGTGGAATCAATGATAAGGGCATCTTAACCCTACTATAATGCAGAATCATCATGACAGCATTACCGGCCCACTGCTTTGGAGTTAACCTGACCCTCTCCCCTGTCATACTTACTCTGGCAAGATCTCAGATCTGTTATCTTTTCTAGTATCTCCCAGTTATTTGGGGCATCTTCAGGATGTGTCTTCTGGGTGCTTTCATAGAGAATAATGAGCTAAATATCTAAAATTAAAAATGCCTTGTTGGAACTCAGATTCATTTTTTCTATTTGTATTATTTTTGGATTAGATATCTGTAGTCTGTGATATTGATCATCTAATCTAAAACGGAAGCATAAATAAAATAACTGCTCCAAGGTGTGAAAACATGTAGGAAAACGAAATGGAAGATCTTGTCTACACAAATTACTTGAGTCACCCAAGTTATGCAGTTATATACTGCATATATACTGAATTATATACTGAATTCTTAGTTCCTGGCTTTGGCCATGCCTAGTCTTGGCTGTTGCGTGTGTTTAGGAAGTAAACCAGTGGATGAAAGAGCTCGTTGTGCTTCCTATGTCTCTGTCTCTCTTTCAAATAAATAAAATACGTAAATAGTTTACAAACACAAAGAGTTGGAATTGACAATTTCATGCTTCGTGTGTTCTGAGCTATTGTATTAAGTCTTTTGTTTCTTTTTTGACACTTAGACATCTTTAGATCCTTGCTGATCCTGAAGGGACTCCCCGTCACAACGCAGCTCATTCCTAGAGGTAGCAAACAACTCATCTAAGAGTGTGCTTTAAATGCAAAAGTCAATCAATCCAGAGCCCACAATCTGACCTCCTTAGCTGAGCTTTTCTAGGTTATTGTTCCCCTGCCCTGATCACACCAGGACTATGTACCACACAGTAAGGGACATTCCCTATACTCCAGAACCTACTGAGCTTATTCGAATCAGTCAAGCAAAGCTTCATACCCTCTCTTACCTGTGTGTCCCCTCAGAAACCACACTAAAGGCTCTTGTCACACTTCCCCTGCTCTGTCTACATCCAGACTACTGACACTGCTCCTTTTTCCCTACGCACTGAGATGTGGTGTACCCCCTTGTACCGGGATCTGTATTTTAAGCTCTCTTTTCAATGTCAGTCATCTCCTTATTGGAGATTTTAAGAATAAAAATTAAATCAAATATCTTTTCTGGCCATAATGTAGTAAAACTAGAAATCAGTAGGAAGAAAAACTCCAGAAACTTCATAATACATGGAAAGGAAATAACTTACTCTTGAGCAACCAATGGCTAAAGAAAGAATTAAACATTTAAAAATCTCTTGAAATGAATGAAAATGGAAACACAACACACCATAATTTTCTCTGTAAAAGGGCACTTCAGTTTTGAGGAAATGTAATTTAAAATAAGTGTATTTTGATGCAAATATCATGAAATACTCATATTTGCTACAAGTAGCTTATTTCAAAGAGGCTTAACTTAAAGTTAAGCCACAACTAAAATAGTCATCATGGGGCCCCTTTCATTTTGGTGCGGTCCTTTCTGAAGTGTGGGACAAGAATAACAGGTTACTGGCACCTTTGGTTTATGCCTTTGCTATCTACTTTGGAAATTAACTGGCTAAATCTAAAAGTAGCTTCTTGCATCTTTACCAGACAAACCAGCCAGGCTTTGGCCTTGGCCTTGTCTTGTCTTGTACATATGAGATCCACACCCTCCTAATAACTACCAAAAGGCATGTTCATCATGTGGGTGCAACTCAAAGAACACCAAAAGTTCATGGTGCGTTTTGCCAAGTTATGGGCCCTTAATTAGTGCTTCAGCTATAAATCATTTCCTGCTTTCCAAATGTTTACACTTACCGTGTGTGATTCTTTTAAAGAGCAGTACAGGGTGGGGAGGCTTTTTACTAAGGTGTGTGGGCCCCTGGCAAGCCTGGTGTTTGCTTAACTCTGTCTTCAGCTTTTACAAACCTTCCTAGTGTTGAGGCTACTCTTTTGTTCCTTTAGTGTCCTTGTTCTTGGTTTAGTGATTAGGAGCACAGGTCCTGGAGCCAGCCTGTCTGGATTCATACCCAACTCCTCCACTGGGGAAGTTACTTTACCTCTTTGGCCCTCAGTTTTGACAACTATTGTGTAGTTGGGTTAATAAAACTTACTAGATTGCTATGAAGTCTTGAGTTAACATATGCAAAATGCTTATAAAAATCAGAACTTCAGAATAAGTATTGAACATATGTTAGATACTATTTATATCATCACTTTCTCTGTTTCTGTTTTATTTTTCCAGGTTCCAAACTGTATCCTCATCTGTGGCACCGCCATCACCAAGTTCATGAACAACTACTTCTCAAGTTAATTGTGAGTAATATATGGGAAGATTTATTTATTTATTTAAAAGGAAGAACCACAAAGAGAAGAAGAGATGGAGATGGAGATGGAGATTTGGGGCGGGGGGACAGAGCACTTTCATCTTCTGGTTCAGTCCCCAAATGCCTGTAACAGTCAGGACTGGACCAGGCTGAAACAGAAACTAGGAACTCCATCCAAATCTCCCATGTGGGTGACAGGGACATCATCTGCTGCCTCCCAGGTGAGTATTAGCAGGAAGCTGGATCAGAAGTGGAGGTGGGGCTCAATCCCAGGCACTCTGACTTGGGACACAGGTATCCCGTGTAATGACTTAACATGCTGTACATTACACTCACCGTGGAGAGCTTTATTTATGATTTCTCTTAAAAGAATTCCCTATTTCTTTGGCTATACTCAGGAAGGAAGGAGGTGGTGGGTACTCACGGTATCCGGTCAACAAATTATGGAGATTTTTAAAGAAAGTTTTAAATTTGATACAATTTCAGAGTTACAGGAAAGATCTGAATACAGTACAAAGAACTTTGTTTTTTCAAAATCACTGGTGAATAAATTTCTGAGCAATGTACACTCACAGATACTGTAGGTTGTACCAAGCTGTCATTAATATCTGTCATATGTGGTTTTGTGGACTAATTGAGGTGACGTAAATGGTGTATCATCCTGGTTTGCAATTAAGTATTAGATTAGTGAAATCATAATTGTGATTCCATCAAGTCTACAAAAATTCAGGATTTATTATTTGACTGCCGGAAGAGAGAACTGAGGAACAAGTCATAGACAAAATTTCAAGTTTTTTTTTTCTTTTGAAGTCAGAGTGATCAGCAACAGGCCTGGTTTCAGAAATCATTCCATACATCATAGGTTATGAAAACACAACTGTGAAAATGTACTGTAATTATTCAAATAATAAACTCAAAGAAGAAAAGAAATCTTTCATAGAGTATTAGTCACAGTCAGTGTATCCTATTTAGACTCAAACCCAACACTTTGAGAGCATTTGCACCCTGGACCTTACAGCCACTCAGTCCTACCTAACTAAATATTCTCAGATTTCTCTGATTCTTTAAAATGACCACAAGTTTCATCTGCTTCATCGGTTGGAGCTGAGTGGTGCACTGACATTTGTGATTGGCTTTGGCTAGGAGCTCAGTGGGAGCTGTCTCAAGGAGCCTTGATAGGCTGAGTTCCAAGGAAGTATGTCCCAAGATGTAAGAATGGAAATCACTGATGCCCTGATGTTGAGCTTAAAACGACACACAGTGTCTCAGCTGCCACATTCTGTTGTTCAAACCAAGTTACACAATCAGCCCAGATTTAAGAGGCAAGGATAAAGAATCTACTTCTTGGTGGGAGGCAATGCAAATTATGTGTTGCCATATTTAGTCCACAGGAAATGTGCATTAAAAACAGTGTCCAAGTTTATGAAGTATCACACATTTGGGAGCATCATCCTAGAGATGAGATGACTCAGGAGCCCTTAGGACATTGTTCAAGTATCTGGGGGGCTGTTGTTGTAAGAATCAGTTTATATAGAATAGAATTTGCAAAGGTTCTGAATGTAATTAGAAATGGACAGAAAAGGCCATTTAGTAATTGCACATTGTGCTCATCTATAAAAGTGTCCAATTTTCTATAGAAAATTTCTTGGGGGCTGGTGCTGTGGCATTGTGGGCTAAGCCTCCGCCTGCTTTGCTGGCATCCCATATGGACACTGGTTCGTGTCCCAGCTGCTCCTCTTCCCATCCAGCTCTCTGCTATGGCCTGGGAAAGCAGTAGAAGATGGCCCAAGTGCTTGTGTTCCTGCACTCACAGGGGAGACCTGGAGGAAACTCCTGGCTCCTGATCAGCCCAGCTTCGGCTGTTGTGGCTATTTGGGGAGTGAACCAGCGGGTGGACGACCTTTCTCTCTGTCTCCCCCTCTCACTATCTGTAACTTTGTCTCTCAAATAAATAAATAAAATCTTTTTTAAAAAAAATTTCTTGTAACAGAGAAGAAAGATTAGTTCATTTCATTATCTTCTCCAATTCTGCCATCATGCGACTTCAAAAATTTCGTTAACCTAAGACTTAATTCAAGAAGAAAGTGCTCAAGACTGCAACAAACCAACCACTTTGAAATTGATTAAGCTTCATGAATGTTATTGTTGGGACTTTATCACAAGCAGAATCATCTAACTTCATAAATATTGATGCATCAATTATTTTCCCCTTTGCGTCTCAATTTTTAAGGTTTTGGTTATCAAATAAGCAAAGCTATAATAAATTAAGTTAAAG